CCCCCCCCCCCCCCCTTCCTCATTGTCCAGCTTGTCCAGTGTCTCCTAGTCATTTCCTGCTCAGCTCAGCTCAGAAGCTCAGAAGCTCATTCTCGATTCATACTTTCGAGTAAAGTCGCTTTTTTCGCAGCCATAAAAGTCTGGCGTCGGTTATGAAATCCGATTTAACTCTTCAACGTGTTGAGAACATTCCCCAAAAAGATCTAATTTGCCCAGCAGTTGTAATGAATGCACTTCTTTTGCCGTACTTACCCACTTACGAAGAATAAATCAACGAGAAAAATAGCTGTTGTCCGTCCAATTGCAAATGAAGTAGTACCCAGTAGTAACAAGTAATCCTTTTTACAGAGAGAATCACCACCACCTACAGAACATAGGCAAACACATGCGAGAACATTTATTAATATTATTACTAGTAATTCCTATAGCTATATGTTTATCACAAGTAACGACTCCAACCCAAGGACAATGCCAGGCAGTCTGTCTGAACGAGGTGAGTACTGTAGCTATGTGTCCCCGTCTACAGCTGATGGCGGCGGCTTCCTGGCTTTCGGACCTTCTGGCCTTCGGTCTTTAACTGCCCACTAAGCTTAGTTGTTTGATAATTTCTTCACCACATCATATTACGTACACCAGATGTTCGGCCCGAACGGCCGAAAGTCAGAGAGAGGGTGTGAAAGATTAAGGGGTGGAGAGAAAAACCAGGAGGGCGAAGATGAGATTGCGATGATGGCTAGGTAGTAATAGTAATAGTAATACAATTACAATAATATTTTCAGTATACCTCTATGAAGGAATTCCTTGCACTAGATGGAAGCGGATATCGAGAAGCAGATGCCGTGAATAATAGCGATTTCGCCTTGGTGAGATACTACAGATCTTTCATTGGTGATGAATTACTGGTTACCAGAAATCGAGTGGTAATTGTAATGATTTCAGTGCAAATTAGGATGTGGATCACCAGGGTTTACCGAGTTAAAATTGGAGCCATTTAAACGAGGCCAAACGGTATACGATACAATCATTAATCAGGGTGAAACGGGCGGTGAGCGGCTTTGAACTCTACAATTTACCTCGGACGTTATGTACGAGGACGAGGAAGGGCCTGATTTGATGGATGGGCTGACGGGAAAAATTTGAAATTTCAGGCTCTCCTACGATGATATCGACATCGTCACCAGTGAAGAGTGTCACGCTGCTTTGTGCTGATAGTGCTGAGAACAATGGCAGTGTATTTTGGCGAGTCGGACTTGAAGTGATGAATAATAGTGATGATGGTATGATGGCACATTGGATAGAGGCTGTACGAAGGATTAACGACGACGTATCCACTGATGTAGTCGTCTTTTCTACATGGGTAAGGCTTCAGGAATTCTCGGCAACTTCCATATTCAGAGTTCATTACAACTTTTTCACTTAGACCTTGTAGATGTAAGTAATTTTGTGCAGAACGTTCCCATGGTGGTTTTGAAATGGCGATGAAATTTCAGACGAAATAGTACCAACATCGGGTATTCGCATGTTCAAATTTTTGTTTCAATCGAAAAAGCTTTTATAAGGAATTGTTTTTTGGTTCCTTTTCTCTACATCTCTCTATATAAGTCGAGCTGGTGGTAGGCAATGATAATCAGTGATAATCAACGATAATGATAACCAGTGGGTAACAAAATCTCGTTTTTGTTTATTCCTCCTTTTCAAATATGGAAAATAGTTTTTCTCAAATGCAAAAAAGCGAAGAAAAAATTGATCGAAAATTTTTTTATTTTGAGAATTGGAAAATGAAAGCGATAATTTCTGTGTACTTCAAGAACTTCATCACTGTTACTTATTACTTACGTTTTTCATGTTTCTTTATTTTTGAAATTTGAGATATCGGTGTTGGTAATTTACGATACTCACTATAGAATTGTTTTGCAAAGTTGATCATTAAAAAAATGTACTATCTGGAATGTTGTGCAATTAGGAGCTGTCGTTTCCGATTTCCGTTTTCTAAGGTCACTCCATTCATGGCCTTCCCGTGACATTTTCAGAATCAGAAATCTGCGGATCTTTTTTTTTNGTCATTGAATTGGAAAAGCTTACTCACACAGGAAAAGACAAGTTTTCGAATAGAGTTCATTTAATCTACTGGCTTCATGGCTGAGTCAGACGGGATGACGTTACGAGGCCCCTTGCATAATATTTACTTTCGACAAAGGTGTAAGTAATGAAAAGGTCAATGTCCCGAATTCAACGTTCGGCCAGTATTACTTTCTATAAAATGAATTATTCTTTTGTACCTTTTTGGCTAGTACTTCTTCTTCTCCTTGGTATTTTGGTGTGGAAATAGATTTCCTCGTAACCCTCTAGTGCCTTACTCAATAGAACTTTCTGTTTAATAAATCGACCTCTTTGATCCTTTACTTCCGATATTTTTCCTATTTTTCGAACCTATTTTGAAAATTGAATTTCCTCGAAACCCCTTCGCTGCCGGACACTTTCTCTGGTCATTGAGAAGGGCTCTCAAAGCAGGCTCTTGGTTTCACGTAGGCTCTTTGCCAGAGAGCTGCCATCCGAACCCCTCCGACTGGATCACGTCATGGAGCGGTTGGAACGTTTTCTTCAGTGTTTGTTTTGATTGTGTGCTCAGTCGACCCAAAAAAAGTATTCTGCACTGAAATGTCAAATCTTCTTTTATCCCACCACCATGGGACCGCCCTCTGTATCGACCGGGATCGATACATATTTCATGTGTGTGGGGGCTACTTGCAGCTATGCAAAGTAGTAGAAGTCGGACGACTTGGATCGAGGAGGGCATTTCAATTGGCAGTTTAGGCTTCACCACCCAAGCTCACATCCGCTCTTCCGTTCAGCGAGATCGTGGTTCTCCTCTATTATTTCAGATTGTCGTCTAGTGGCTGAGAATTCCGCCACAAAGATTTGTCCCACGCTCTGATTTGACTTCATTGAATGAGACCCAGTTAGCTATTATGAGGACGAGATGGCGACGGGTCTAATTTCCCACGATGTAGTGTGTGTGTGTGTGCTGTGGGTGTGTGGACTGATGGTGTGAGCGGATGAAGCAGTCAGTAGCTCTCGAAAAAGGACGAAGAGAAGATGACGGCAGTCGGCAAGAAGAAGAAGAAGCACTTTTGCTGGCGTGCGACTCAAGAGGGATTAGCCTTCGGCAAACAAATGTTAAACGCCCAGGATTTGTCATGTCATTTCGGGTGATAACAAAATGAGTCAACCTCGTCGTTATTACTTTGACGTGAACAAATCCTACGACGAGCAACCCGATTCAAGGATGCTATATAAGCTTTGCATGGCTTTTCTGCTCAAGACTAACCGACGGTTACGGTAACTCAGCGAGACTGGGCGGGCAGATGTTGTGACAGCGAAAAAATGGGCTGATCATTGAGATGGAGATTAGCTAAGATGTTCCAATGAAAAACCACTTACTACCAGTTTCTTCCAGTCACTTCCTGTTCCATTGACGTTGGGTGAGATGGGCGTGACGTAGAGGAAACGGAAAAAACGTACAGATATCCATAATGAATCAACTGTATCACCTGTCGTTTCGATGATCGTCAAGTTGCTCGAACGGATGCCCGTTGACGTCTACGTTCGTCCCTGTCGTGAGCCAAAGTGGTCCAGTGGGTCGACCTGCCTCCGGGAACACGAGGCATAGAGTTCCTTTCCTTCAGAGCTTCCATGAGGAAGTCTAACCACCGGTCCGGCGGCCGTTCTGGTGTTGGTTTGACGTCCCGAGGGATTCGGTCAGTAATCGCCTCGGTCCTACGGTCATCACAAAGTCGTGTGACCTGTCCGGCTAACCTGATTTTCATTCCTTGGCGTCAGCAAGATCCTCGCTGTCCCTGATCCTCTTTCGTTGACCGAATTCGTCGTTGACTTAACTCGCACCTCTAGATTTACCTTTGAAAGATACTCCTCCCGTCCAAATACATTCGAGTAGAGGAGCTAATCGGATGAGCCAGGTGTTTGGTGCATATGAACGTTTATAGTACGAGAGAAAGTAAAAACCGACTCTATTCAAAGTGCCCTACGCATTCGATTTCCATTCAAAGCCGCATTAGCTTTCGAGGTATACAATGATAAGCAGGGATCAGCCGTTTTGCGAATCGATGTTTTCAATCTCCAAAACGAGTTTAGCACCATTCAAAAACTCCAATCCATGATTGGTTTGGACTTTCCGACGAGATTTCATACGTGAACCACACTCATTGAAAACAGCTTTCCACCTGGCACTACCAAGCCTTCTCTACCATAGAAACTTGACACCGTAAAAGTAACCATGGGATATACATATAATAAGGGATAAAAATAGTAATGTATCCAGATAACAATTAATAATAATATCTTAATAAACAAAAATTGCCAGAGAGAGATCATTAATTCAAAAAGAGAAATCGATTCATTCAAAAATATGGGAGTTGGATGCACTTTGATGAATTATTAACTCAGCCCAAATAATTGAATTCCATTGGTATCTTTGGGAAAGATATGCCACTTCGATTCTACTTATTTACATTATTAGTTTGTTGCTTTATAGTAGAAATTATTAGATTGAATGAGCGTTTTCCCGCTTTTTCAGGATATTTAGTGCTGTTTTCCGCTTTCGGCAGTAGTTTTTTCTCCACCAGACACCTCGATTTCGATTTATTCCAAAGCTTCTGCATAAAATTACTGGAAATACTGTACTTTTGGATTAATCAATTTTTTAAGTTTACAGTAAATTCTGTAATAGTATAGTTAAGGTTTCTGTCTCAACGGAATTCTGAAAGCGCCGCGAAGGAATAATATTTTATCACTTAGGCGACCAGCTGCTTCCTATCTCTCCTCTAAGTTTAATCATTTGATTTGTGAAACACCCAAATGAACTTACATTCAATTTTTTAAAATTTTTGAGCCTGCTCAAAAATTTTTTCTTTGCTTTTTCCCTTTTCTTTGCTTTAATTTTATTCCTCAAACAACTCTAATGATATGAGTAACTTATTGTGGCGATCCGCTTCAATCACCCGACAGCGCTCTTGATCATCGGTCATCTTATCACTAATTTTTTCTTTTTTATTTGTTGGTTTATAGTAGTCGGCTCTTTATGGCAATTTGCGAGTTTTCAGAAATAATTTTCGGTGTGTTCTCATTGGTTGCTTGGTAAAAACTCGCGCTAATTTAGACTTTGCGCAGAACGCGTCTAGTTTTCTGTTACCGTCTGCGCTCTCTTGCTGAAAGAACATTTTGCAGGCATGTATTGAGGCCTTGTGTTTCAATGTTTACGTGCAATGATGANTCACATACGTTCGCCTCGTACAGATTGGACAGTCCCCGTTATTCACGGATTCAATGTTTGCTGCCGTTCAAAGTTTGCTGTTGTACTCTGACAATCTGGGTTCTTGCTTCATCTCTAGAAAACTAGAAAGGCATTAAGGGTGCCGTGCAGTGTTAAAGGGTACTTCAAAATTAACTGGGTCCTATATGAGCGCTCTAGCACACTTTATTTCAGAAGGCCTATTAGGAACTATTACTTACCATCTATTATAACCACTTTGTTACTTCTGCACAAACGGCCCACTCTATATCGTGGTTTCCGCTGCGACCCCGATTGACCCCGATTCGGCACTGGTTTTTAAAATATTACTCAATTAAATGTAGTCAAAAAATAAGGGAGTTGTTAAATGAACCTATAAATCAAGTCCAGTCTTCACGAGGATAAACTATTTCTACAAAACCTGAGCCTGACGAAATCTCAAACTAAATTCCTCAACTAGTACCAGTTAGAAGTGTCTGATATCATGACTACCGTAAGAATCCTATTTTTACACCATCGTAATCGGTCATGTCAGTGGCCCGCAACCGCGACGTCAGGTGCCGTGAAATATGGCTAGTTCATGAGTAGCGGTGTAGAGCAACGTCCTTGTATTCAATCAATAGTTGTTGAATAATCAATAACGTGAAAAAATTTCTTTTCCTTTTCAGTGCTATACATCATATGTGGATTTTTTTGGTGTCGTTGATGTAACGAATTCCTCTGTACAATTTCGTGTGTCATCATTTAATGGTAGTGGCCTAATGGGGCCTTTAATGAGCTCCAAATGGTATACGGAAGAACAACTGGCTGGAGGAAATCACATACAAATGGTTGTTGCTGACGAGGTAATTCACAGCTTATAATTACCAGTAAAAAAAATGCCATCATTCTGCATATATATCTTTTAGCTGTGGAAGGACGAGTTGGCGGCGGTCCGAGTTGCCTTCAAGTCAACGCAAATGTCTTCATGTTCCCTCGTGCTCACCTATAATTCCCACATGGGAGTTGAACAACGTATGGAATTCGTGATGGTGAGTGGATTACTCGGATCGATTACTTGAGTAATCGATCGATACTGACGGATCACTCTGGGATGTTCTATAGGAAATAGGTTTTCACCCAGAAAGAAGGCGCGCAATATCCTACCGAACGAGCTTGAAAGGGGGCGATGCTTGATACTGTACTGTATACTGTGTTGTACTAGTAAAGCTATACTATGTAGTGTGTCTAATAATGTCCTCATTAGCAGAAAAATATCAGCGACTCAGAAAAACCGGATCTGAACAAAGAGAACAGTAGCTAGAAAATAAGCTGGTAAACAATTAGCGTCAGGCCAGTGCATCCGGGCCTAAACTCGATTAGGACCAATTGTGTGGATTGTTTGAATATCTGGAAATAATTGTAAATATATGTAAATACTCACTGAAATATTGTGTTGGCGTGCCTTCCCACCTGTAGTGACACCACCGCGCGTAAACGAGGCCTGTGATTGGTGGGTTGGTCATGATAGCCAATCACATGAGCAACTGGCCCGAAATACTATCTGTGAGGTCGTATTTGAGGTAGTTTTGAATTTTGGATTTTTGATTAGTCCTACTCCTCTTTCCAGGACCGTTCTCGTGGTTTCCTTCTCGATCGACTGGCGTTTGATCATCCGTACACCCTACGGTTATGGCGCATTGGTGCCGTCACGACGGCATACACTTCACATGAATTTCGTACACCCCAGTGCTTGAAATTGGTGCATGATCCAGCTTTATGTGGTGAGTTCCGGTACCTTCCACCGATTTCAACCCCTGCTAAAAAAATTGAAGAAGAATAGACTGCTTCATAGTGTCTTTCATCACGTCTCTCCACAAAAATAGCATTTTCGAAGGGTTTCTCTGATCCTGTGTAGAAGCTGTAACGTCCTCGAAACTCCATCTTCACTGAATTAGCAGTTTCTGCTATTACCGGTTTTCTTCTGGAGTGCTATTACTACTACTATGTTGAGTAGCACCATAGGAAGCTCGCGAATCTGCCACAAAATTGGTGCCTTTCCCCCAAAACTACGGAAAAAATGGTCTTTCTTCACCAAAGCGCCACAACTTTTTAGTGGAGGTGTCTTTCTGAAAACGGGCTTGAGGTTGAATTCTGCAAAGCTTTGTAGTTATAATTCTTTCTACGAAAAAGATATATGTAGATGAAAATGACCGTTTTTCTATGGTTTTTATCGTGTCGCCGCCATATCCTGGGGCTTCAGCAGCATTTTTGGTGTACGTTTATCAGCAGTTTCGATCTTGTCCCTTCTCACTTAACTCACATCCATCAGTCAGTGCTGGGTGACTNTTGACTATGGTGTCTAATAGCTGTTTGAGAGTGAGTTGTGTGTGTTCCGATTGTCTCGTAAAATAAATGAATGGACATGAGGTTACGACGAAACCTCAGGGACCGATTCAAGTAAGTTACCTCACAAGTGACTGGGAGGTCCCGAGGAGGAATCGGTCCCTCTTTATGTTTTACTAGTTGGTAAGAAAGCAGGGTTTGAGTCAATTTACTCAGCTGTAGTTGACACTTTTAGCACCACCACCCGTAAGTGATATATCGTGGATATGGAATTCGAGTGAGAATGAAGGCAATCGAATTGTACTGTCATGGACATATGGATCACTCAGTCAAATGGTAGAAGACGGTAAGATTTCAATGGCCATTTAATCTATTATTAACTCTACTATTACTACGAAAAAAATATATGTTGATGCCTGCGCGTCTTGCTTGCACAGGCCATAAGTTCCTTACTTACCAGGAGGCCTGTTTTGGCAGTTCGACTTTGGAAATTCTCGGCTGGGAGATCGTTATATACTGCCCATAAGGTGTGAGAAGCTGGGGAAACATTTATTCGACTACTCTTGAAGACAAAAAAAGAGTAAAGAGTATCCATAGGAATATGCATAAATAAAGCAGCATAGTATAATATGTATAGCACGAGTGCGCTTACAACTGTACCTACGTTTCCCAGCGGAAGCTGAGTGCACTGCGCATCCTGGGAGGAACCGCCTATACGGCATTCTTATTTGATTTAGTCCTGTGATTTTATTGTCGGAAGGAGTGATGATAAATTCGTTGCCTTACCAAGCAGCTACATGCAGTATCCATGCTCATGACAGTTAATGTTACTTAATAAATGATAACAAATAATACCTTATGGTTGCAACATTGAGTAATAAGTGATAATGTACAATGAACATTCATAATAACAGCAGTCATACAGTATTAGTAATTATAACCGTCTAAGCTCCTCTTCATGTGCTATTAGACCATTCATAGCTTCTGCTTTTCACTTTGACAAGAAAATTAACTATTTTTCAGATTCGCGAGTAGAACGTCGTGATTCAGTTGCCCCCGCAGTGACGTCTTTTCCCCGTATGGTGCATTTCGACATCGCCATCAACCCTTTGGTCACTGCTACTCAGTATCAATGTCAGTTTTTGGATGTACAACGACGCGTTGTGACATGGGTAAGCCTTTGAGCCATGTTCTTCACTATTATAAGGGTACTAGTAACGGCGGGCTCTGAGGCATAGGCCCAATGGAGTCAGCAGAACATGGGCCCCTTCCAAATGAAGGGATATTAGTACTTCAGTGATGAAATGCTTATTCCTTAAGCGAATGAAGCATCCTAAGGAATGAGTACTACTTTTCGCAAAAAATCTAACTGATACCCAGATAGGGGCTACCTAAGAGATTAGGTAGACCACGGTCAGATACTGCAGTACGGTTGTGAAACAGGTTGTGATCTTTGTAATTCTTCTGGTTCAGATATATCACATCCGGTAACCAAAGAGCTCTCTTACAAGTTAATTGGTTTGTTTGGAATGCATCGATTGCATGAAGTGGGTTGTGGCTCAGTACCGAACGCATTATGTGTAACTGACGCGCGCGGTCGCGACGCGTCAAGCTTCTTTCATCACTCATGTAATGATGAAAGAGCTCAACATACCCCATGGATAGGTGTTTTTAAAACCCTTTTTCGCTTCTATACCTGATAATACTGACTTTTGTAATGATGTCAATCAGGTAATCGGTAAGCCACACTGCTATCGCTAATACCAGTTATTCGCCATTCTTTGAATAATCAAGTCCGACAAAATGTATCACCTCACAGTGACTGTTAATATATGTTTTAGACTCATCGTTCGGTTGTTCTATATGTTCCCAACGAGCATTGCAATTACGGTATTGAAATTACCGTAGTGGATTCACGTAATCGACGTAGTACCACTACGAAAGCCCAAGTGATTCGATTCGAAGAGAAATATCAGATGTTGCTATCAGCTGATGGATGGAACACTGGAGTGGTGAGAGTTTTTGGGCTTTTTGTAGACGGAACGACTCAATCCAAATGTACTGTTTCAGATTGTCCTATCGTTGATAGTCCTGGCATCATTTGTTACCGTATCCGGTGGATTGGTAGCTTGCAGGATAAGAGATCATCGTGAATGGAACACAATCAAGCGAAGTATCAGCCCTCCATCACCAGGCCTTACTATCACACGGACCGCCTCGACCTCGGTGGTTGGGGTCGCCAACAAATACGGCATGTACATGTATATTTTGATTTATTACATATTTATATATATACATAACGAAGTTAATTTTTACTTTGATACTTATCATGGAGCGGCGGTAATGCTTGTAACTAGATGTGTATGAAGCCTGGGTTTTTCTTTATCCAGCAGGCTTAGTTCCGGCCTCACTTGTTGCCGTAAATGAGGAATGCGCCGTGCACTTGGCAGAAGTGGAAATGGCTTTTCCTTTGGGAAGGGGATGGAGAAAGCTGCGTGTTTTATTCATACTTTATCACCTGTACCTCCTTCGACTCCTTGAATAACATGGTTTGATGCCCGAAAGTTGTCAATTCCTGGGATAAATCGAGTACACGGCTCATCCTCCCAAAAGATTGGATGTAGCCATGCAAACTGTTCATGAATTTTTACATATACCCAATGAAAACTAGACTGAAGTTAAATGATCTGTTAAGAAAATCATGGCCCTTTGGCCCGTGAACCAATCACCTACTGATACACTTCAGTAATTTTTTTATTTTTACATTTATTATTTTACTATTATTTTCAATTATTTTACTATTTTTCACTTATTCTCAATTTATTTTGTTGTTTTTCATTTCTCATTTCAGCATTGAAGGAGCGGTGTCCCATGCGAACGGTGAACATGGTCCGGCTGTCGTTTAGCGACGACAGTGAGACACCGGTGAATTCGACACCTATCGTGAAAGGGGTACGCAGTAATCTTTGAAGTAATTTGGAGTACAAACGAGCTACTTATTTGTAGAATTCCACAACGGAGACGTCCGATGGTGATGACTGCTTCAAGGCGTTACCCGTTACTCCAACAACAGACGATACCGAGTACGACACGATTGGTACTCCGAAGCTAACACATAATGTAATTTCTCCATTATCCAAAAATAACTGTTTTATAATGGAAACTTCGGGGAAGAGAAAAAACTTCAGGGTGAGAATGCCCTCAGGGTAGCTGTGTATTAGCTCTGATGAGCTGTAGTGGCAACATTTGGGGAACCACAGCTTACAAACAGCCAACCAGAGTCGAAGAGAGACCACTTTCGAGACCAAAAGAACAGTTACTATTATTCTTTGGTGTTCTGAAATATTGAGAAACTTTCCGAAGTACCCTGGTAAGTGGATTGCCGCGTTTTGCCGCAAGTTTATCGTGCGCGGCAATCGAGGCACTCCTGCAGCGGACGGCAGTGCCGCCGCGGGCGACGGCACCTCTTGTCCAAGTGGAACACGTCTAAGAATAACTAGAAGGACACTAAAATAACTCGGTAATGTAGTAAATACTTAAGACGTTTTAATGCTGTACTGGAGACTGGTCAAGTAACCTATTCTCGCGAATATTTCGAATAGGTTCAACAAGAAAATGCTACTTTTCCATTTAGCCATGCCAAACGGGAAGATGTTCTGGCGGATGTCTAGCCGCCACTATAATCACTTCTGTAGCCAGTATCAAGCCGAACACCTTGGCGTATGTACATTCTTGTACTTTTGCTGACGCTACGAGGTCATTAGGTCACATTTCCATCTTCAGAGTGCCACATGATTGCTTGATAGTTACTCGACGGCTGACGAGGTCTCAATTTTCATTATGGACCACAAAACATGTGATGTGGCAAACTACTGAACAGACGTTTGCCATTAAATACTCGCAACGTAAGTAGTAGGTATATAACTCGATAGTAACACACTCCCAGTAGCACTTCTGAAACTGCAACTTCCCATTTCAGAAGGCATTGGGCTTCTTCGAAGGGAGTTCAAAATTTTGAATCATATCTCAGTGACTCATCCGAATTTGGTTCGATGGTTAGGTGTTGGAGTTTGTAGTGATCAGGTATGAAGTTTTGTTACTGGAGTAGTATTTGAGTAGTTGATTCAAACCTATATTTATGACAACTTGGCGCGGATGTCTTCGTATTGTTATCATTTATTATTATTATCATTACATAATTACATATATATGGTACAATATATTACTTTACTGGTCTTCAGCCTTACGCTGTGAGGAAATGGATTAAATGAAGGCGAACAGAGGGCGAAATAAGTCTAGGCGCGTTCCACACACGCGTGCGGCTCGTCGCGCGCGGTATAAAAACTACTCACAGACCGTCGCGCGAAACTTTCGCTTGCGGCGGGGGCAAACTTAGGCGGGCACGGTCAGACTTGAATCGGCCTTGGTGGAAGTCAAAAGCAACGTTTCTGCTTGAAAAAAAAAACAAAATCTGATTTCTTTGAAATAAAATTGCCAATCCCAGCTGGATTTTATTCTGTAGCAGCCTCTGACTTTTTTTTTCCAAAAAATTTTCTCTACATACTCTTCAAAGTATCGATCGATTTTTCAAGGTTCTGTCATTATTGTTCGAGCCATGCAGTGGTGGAACACTGGCGAATTTCCTTGACGAGGCTAAAAAAGTTCTTTCTCACAGGTAAGACTTTGTACTTTTCTCCTTTCTTGACTTAAAGTTTTTATGTGTAAAAAACCGCTAATCTTTTTTTGTGCTTGACTTTCGATGAGGAACTTCGTTAGGTAGTTTTTATTCCAGAACCTCATTCGATATGCCGTCGTTAGAGCACAAAGTGCACTTCTTAGCATATCATCTTCATCGGTTTGCTTTGAATGTTGCTCAAGCATTGGTCAGTTCAATTTCTTTCTGCATATTTCTTTTTCTTTATTTTGTTCCTAGCGTCCTTTTTTTTCAAAAAAGGAATTGAATAATAAGTTTGATGAATTACTGGCTGCTGTTCCGTAGTAGTCCGACCCTGTGAGGATCGGTCCTAGCTATGAGTTTCTTCTTAGAATTCGCTTAGAACGAGCTTGATTGTTCTATGAAAAATCTCAACAGGTGAAGGATAAAGTCCTAGTTAGTCAACCCCTTTTCGGGATGCGCTCCGCATTCGAAGCCTATTTAGAATCGTAGTGACGTTTTGAATGCGTATGTGGCTAATCCAATGAATTGGGGGAGGGGGAGGGGGGTCAGCCGATGTACAAGTTAAACTTTCATCCTCACAGGCGCTTTTGTTACTAATTACGTGTCCGCGGAGGGATGGAAGGCCTGGTAGACTGAGGTAATTACCTGGGTTTCGATCCCCGGACCATGCATGTGGTAGGGCGCCACTTGTCGCTACACCACCACCGCTCTATGAAGAATATATGATTTATATCGAATTTAGCCTTCATGTAGGCGTATGAACATCATTCAGGATAGGATATTTTTCTAATTTTTCTAATGAAAAAAGTGGCAATTTTCAAAAGAAATACTTCGAGTTCTATATAACACCCCTGAGACACTTATTCATTTGTTTCCATATCTCGGTCCCGCTGATCGTTCAAAATCGTGAAAACCGTCGAGGGGGCTTGACAGGCTTTGATTTACTGACTTACTGACGAGTTACAGTACTCCTGTGTGCTGAAAGACCAGTTTCGATTGATGTGTCGTCGAAAGACGTGCATATCATTAACTTTACGTCGACAGGCTGCGGGTATAAATTTGAGCTTGACCTTGACAAGTAGCCGCTTCAATAGTTTGGCCGTGGATTACCGTAGACTGAAGGGTTCTGAGATGTAAAACTTATTACTGGCACAAAACTAGCTGCCTATTTTAATGTACAACTACTTTAACAGTACTTGTACATCTAACCATGGAGGGGTAGTCTACTTATCTTGGAACTTTGAATTCAGACCCAGATAGATCGATAGGGTTTTGAATGCTGTTTACGAAAATGGAAATTAAATCTGC